TTGCAGGCGACGTACCCGTTCCAGATTATTGCGATGGATCACATACCGTCGCTACCCAGATCCCACAAGGGAAACACTGAGTTATTGATCTGGGTCGATCTGTTCACAGGATATGTGATCGCGAAAGCCATCTCGTCCCGATCGGCCCAGACGGTTGCAGAATCGTACAAAGAGTGTGCATTCCGACGTGCCAGAGAGATGATCCGGCATGATCGAGATCCCGGCTTCATGTCCGATTTCTTCCGGGCGTTTATCAAGATCCTGGGACAACGGCAGCGGGCGACGATGGCATATCGACCACAAGACAACGGGACTGCAGAAAGAATGGTACAAACGGCGACCAGGGCGCTCAAGATGTATGTTCGCGATCTGGATCAGAAGGATTGGGACGAGTATGCAGAGGCCTTACCTTCGCGATCAACACGGCTCACGATCGGATCCGAGGAGATACCCCTCACTATTTGGTGCATGGGTGGGATCCGAGATCGACACTGGAGGCTACACTGCCAGTCGGATGTACGAGACGGCGCGATCGAGACGCGCGGCGGTGGCGTTATCGGGTCCAGCGATATTATCAGCAGTACTGAGAACAAGTCAATGCCAGATTGAAGGAGGCCATTGCAGATCGGGCCGGCCGACACAACGAGGACGTCGGATCGCACCAGATCGAGGCCGAATTTCGCATCTGGTTATACCTAGATCGGGTGAAGGAAGGATACGAGCGGAAATTGGCCCATGCCACAGGTGGGCCAATTTCCGACTCGCCGAAAAGATCAACGAATTCAGCGTCAAGCTCAAGCGAGATCGCAGGAACAGGATATCAAATCTTCCCTGTGGTACATGTGTCGAAGTTGAAACTGGTCAAGGACTTCCCAGATCGGCCACGCGTGGAGCTCACCGTGGATGAGGCGGATCGTCTCGATTTCGATGAGATCCTGCTTCTGGAGGACAGTTGGGTCCCAGATCTCGGAGCCGATGAGTACGAAGTCGAGCGGACCTCCGATATGCGGAGTGGGAAGAAGACGCGATTTGGTCGGATTTGCCGAGAATTCCTGGTGCATTGGGCAGGATATTATGAGCCAACCTGGGTCGACGAAGCCGATCTCAACTGCGGGGTAATATTGAACTCCTTCCTGCGGCAACGGGCTAATCGGAACCTCTTCATGTGATGCAATCACATGAGAAGATGTAAGAAGGACGGGGTGAGGTTATCTGATCGTCTCGACCCCGAGGGAATACCGGTCAGATAAGACCGAGATCAGGAATTCATGTTGTATATGTGCATATGTGCATATGGAAGCCCTCGCAAGAGATCACGGAAGACATGATGAGTCGGAAGAGAGATCACTTAGGAATGGCGACGAAAAGAGCAAACAAACAGAAGATGTGGCTCAAATTAGGAGATATCGAGATCGGCAAGGAGGAAGCGCGATCCCGGGTAGGAAATTGGAGATCACGGAAGTTGGCATCGAGTTGAAGCTAGATCGACGATCAAGGGGCCGCCGGAGGGTTGAACTTGTTCACGAGACAAGAGATCTGTAGCCACGGGTGAGCGGAACCGGGATCTCGATAATGGTTTCGCCAAGGATCCGCTTGATCGCACTCGAACAGGGCCGTGATCAGGTCGGTCGGTTCAGGGAGATTCGCCGTCGGCTGCGCAAGATTGGCCGCGGGAGACCGATCCAGGATACCAACTTATCCAATCCCGGGTAGTCGGCAGGAGGAGGAAACAGGGATCCAGCAGGACGTCGATATCGGCCCACTGAGCCCTCATCATTAGCACACACACACACAACAAATTCCGCCAACTTTCTCCAGCGCGGATGCGTCGCTGACGTCGATCCTGATGGTAGCCAAGAAGATCTGGGTCCGCGGCGGCCATCGCTTTCGTGATCTCGACGTAATGGGCCGATTCATAATACGCTATCAGGTGATCCTCCTCCAGCGCAGCATACGATACGGCGATCCACCATAGCGGGGTCGCAGCCTGCCGGTGGAGGTTGGGGTCGAAAGTCAGCGGAGTGGGGCGGTTCTGTCGAAGTAAGCGCCACGGCTCCGTAGCCATCAGAGCCAAAACGTTGCCACCAGATATCAGCTCCGAACGGTAACCGGTCACGAGTATGGGCGTCCGAACAGGGAACAGGAAGCCAGGCGGGATCGGTAACCGTTTGGTCAATGTCGCCGGAATCATAGCAGGGGTCGGCACGGTGCCCACGAATGGTAGGATCCCACGGGGTGATCTCGGCTGCGCTGAAGGTCTTGATCGTAGAATATAGAGGAATACTCGCCTCGGCCGGGAATAGCGGCGGGTTCAGTTGGAGAGGTGAGCCGCCGCCAGGGGAGCCACCACCGGGACTTCCTCCTGGAGATCCGGGAGGCGTCGGAGGAGGCGTCGAGGGTCCATGATCGGAAGGAGAGGAGTCACCATCATCCGAACCGCCTCCACCTCCGCTTGGGATCTCGGGATTATCTTCGGTTCCCTCGCCCTCCGGACCTTCGATCTCGGGCTGATCAGACTGATCTTCGATTGCCTCGTCTTCCGGACCCTCGATCTCGGGTTGGTCTTGGTCGGGTGGTGGAGAAGTGGGCCGATCACTGCGAGGAACCTTGAGAGGTGGTAGTTGGGGAGGTGAACTGGGCGGGCTTCGCTCACGTCTCGGTATCCGAGCCGTTGACTCTCGCGATTCCGTCTGGCGAGGTGCGTGAGGAGCACATCAGCTTCGTTCAGATCACTTTCGGCGAGATCTCGAAGCTCGCCTAGTTGATCGTGGGCAAGCTGGAGATCCGCCATCCTGCCCTCACATTCCTGAAGCTCCAAGCAAACCACTCCGAGATCATCGTCCAGTTGGGCAGCGCGGACAGCCTCGGTGTAGAGATCCAAGCGGACCTGATCGCGCTCCACAATCGCCTGATCTCGGTGTTGGAGGGCTGTGTCGCGATCGACGAGCGCCCAATCCGATCCTCGGCAGTCTGGGAAGTTGCTTGAAGGCCCTCGATCGGAAGTGACTTGCGTCAGGGTTGCTCGAGCGAGCGCATGATCCGCCAACGCGCGATCCCTGTTAGCCTGGGCCAGGTGGGTAGACTGTCCATAGGAGGATTCCCCTCCATGGTCCGGTTGCGGCAGGGTGAGCTGGGAAGAGATCCGGTTGTAGCTGGCGAGAGCGGTGGCAGCTTCAGATCACGCGTCGTCGGTCGCGCGCTCCAAAACGCGGATCTGCTCCTGCAAGTCCCGGATCTTGTCGCCGGCCTGGGTGGCTTCCTGACGCAGGCGATCTCGATCCGCCTCGGTATGGTGAAGATCTTCGTGGGCCGAAACCGTGCGACGTTCGAAGTCGTTGGGCTCGGTACGAAGTTGGAGAACTTGGGCGCGGAGGCCGTCAGGATCGTCACCAGCGTCGTGGGTGAGGGTCGAGATCTCGGCCTCAAGGCGGGCGATCTCGTCTCGCTGGCCGCGTTGGAACACTTCCATGTCCTGGACGTTGGTTCGCAGCTGACGGACTTGCAGATCGAGGTGACCTCGATCCCGGATGAGACGATTCCGCGTGCGGTTGCTCTGTCGGAGCTGGCCCTCCGGGAGGGTGGCTAACCGCCGATCCCGATCGGGGGTGTGGGAGTTCGAGCGACGAGAGATTAGTGGAGTGTCGTGACCAGTCACTCGTGGTGGACTGTGGCGAGTCGGGAGGAGTCAGGATGGGGGGACTCCCAGGGTTGCTCCCGGTCTCACTCATGGAGATAGCTGGCGGAGGAGTGAAGCGGAGTATGGCCTAGTGGACGAATTGTGGAATGAGACCTGAAGTGAACCAGGATGTCCAACTTTCAGGCTGAGGGCGGATGTTGTAAACTGCGGCCGAAATCTCCCGAGAGAGGCAACCTCGGCTGCCAGATCGCGAGAAACCTCCCCAGGATCTGACGTGTGACGACATCGGTGAGTGATAGTGACTACGGATGACCCAAGCTCGACTGCAGATGACCCAAGATCAACCCGACGGAATGATGGATGGCG